CCTTTATAACACACACTATAAATCACAGTAGAATTACACACACTTTACTTACGGTGCCTACTATTTGCTTGACTCAATCATCTATCTCTTCAATCTTTCTATATACCTTCTAGCGCTCGCTTTATTTGCCGAGCTTATATACTAAAAAAGAGGACGCCTGGCAAACACTCGAACATTCGCGGGGCTCCTCGATAAGTCATGATTCTTCTAGAAACTCCAGCGCGAATGCTCCCAGCGTCGCGTGCCTTCCGCTGTCGTAACAGTATTGACTATTAATAGAAAATAATTACAAATAAAAGAAATAATATAATTTACCCAAAAATTCAAGCTAATAACGAAAATATCACTAAGTTGTATATAAACATAGTTAACATGAAATACATATTTTCCATAAAGGCGATATTTTAAAATAGGTGCTACTGCAACAGTGGCGTAGTGAGAAAATTGCAGGGGGGCATTTGCTCCCGGACACCAGGTTTGGGGGGCGCCAAATAAACAACCAGTTTTCCCAAAATTTAGCTGTTCCCATAAGACTAAGGCTCATTAATTTGTTTTTGTTATGCCTAACATCAAATATTAGTGTATCATCAGAAATATCATGCCTAGGGAAATCCTTAATTTTCAGTGTTAGCTTGATTAAAATACATTGACATCTCATAGCTGATAGAAAATTTAGTAATTTTGTGATCACCTGACAATTTGAGGCCGTATTTTTCAAGCTAAGAGATTTTTGGTGGCCCAAATAATTCTATCTCAGATTTATTCGTCCAATAATAATAACAATCAGGAGAATTGTGGTGCATTTTTATCTTAATGTAGAGTATATTATGCAACATATTGTTATACAAACCAGAGGTCTTAATTAGCTAATGATTCAAATTCGTAAATAATAAATCATAAACTTTATATGTTTGAAAGTCATGTAAGGAGCAACTGAATCAGTTAGAAGCTAGAAAGTAAGAGTGTAAAGGGAGGGTGGAGTTAGGCTTTTTTGAGGGAGCGTCAAATTATGTTTTGCCTCTGGGCGCTAGACACACTCACTACTCTACTGCTCTGCAACCAAAATATTTACTATTTATACATGCAATATTAATTTCTTCTTAATGCGACCCTAGCTACTAACAGCGTTAAGAGTTAGACGGGCGAAATTGATGTTTTTAACAATGGGATCAACTCCATCTTGTTTCCCTTCAATTCTATTTCTGCTTTCAAGCAATACCGACTTTTGTTCTGGGTCACCTACTTTTATGTTATAGACAAGCTTTTTTAAATAGGTTAAAGTTCCAAGCTTTATTAGTAAATACATAAAAAAATTTCCTATGAAATACTTGGACGAATGCTTCCAAGTTATTTAGTTAAAGACCGTGCGACCACAAGCCAGATTGGCATTCCAATTATCAAAATTTCAATATATAAATAGAAAAATAACCATTGTAAATGTATAATGATAAATAACACAATACATTTTGAAAAAGTAAAGTACAAAATATATATGAAAGCTATTGCACTATAGTTTTTGAAGCTGAATTCAAATTAGCGTGAAACCCATGACGGATTAAATTATTATGATTAAGGTTGTTTTGACCAATAAGAAACATAGTATTAATATGCAGAGCTTGATGTAAAGTTAGTAAAAAAACCACAGTAAAGGGACAAACTATCACAAGTATGATATAAGAAAAACTAGTTTCGGCACACTCGTGCATCCTCTGCAGTCTGACGTTGTCTAAACGTGTTTTCTGTTGATGTTTACTCATCACTGATAACCACTGTACACATTTTCGTGAGGAAGAAAAAAATTCACAATTGTGTTATTATGATTGGCTTTCAGATTCGCCCCCCCCCCATATATATATATGCATATT